TCAGTGTAAAAATAAAGAGAGTAAGGCGCAGCGGTGGCAAAAATTAAACAAACATGGCCGACTGCGGAACCGGCAAAAAGAACCGGCAAAAGGGGAAACTACTTGGCCGGCCATTGTTTGAAGTTATTATTGGTGCAGTCAATCGAGTCGGAGTCCGGCAGCGGACCCAATCATCGGACCGACTTGTTATTGCCTTTTCTCCAAGGATATCGCCCGATTTTCCTCACTGCCTCTCACTCGCCCTCATTTCATATAATTTTTTGCCTCCTCGATTTCTGTTTGTCTTTCCTTTCGCAGTTGGCATGTGAGCGTATAATTTGTAAAAATTATTTGCCCTGCTGTCGTCCTGGCTGCAGCTCCTGCTCCTTGATCGTCCTCCACCAAACCTCCGCAACCGGAAGGGGAAAAAAATATTTTTTTCATCAGTCCATCCTGGGTCGGGACTGAGGACTGAGGACCGAGGACTGGGACTGGGACACAGGAAACGTTGCGGTCGCCGCCTCCAGCAAAAAGGGTTTAAATTTTAAATTAAGCTCCTTTATTGTCGGGTCCGAGAGGTCGGGGCGATTCCTCTTGCGGTGATTGTCAAGCCCTTTAATTGCGTCAAGTGACCCGACGACCTGGCTTTAATTGGAGCAAAGATGATTTGCAGATCGATGCCTCGAGTGGGCCATTGAGCTGGAGATATGTCAGCATACCACGGCGATTGCCCATCCACTTGGATTGGAATTCATCCCAGTTGAGAACCGATTAATAAATATTTGCACTCGTGGATAAACTCAGGCTACTGGTTAGACTAAACTCTTAACAGCCTGGCTTAAATATCTGTTGTTACAGGATTAAATGCAGGCATTACTCGGGAATCAAAAGTATGATTTTCTGATCCAGTTTGATTGCCTAGAAACGTTTTCATAAACTGTATTTCATGTTCTTCTCCTGTGTTTATTCATACATATTTTGTTTTTTACATTGAGCTCTAAGTTTCCAAGTTCGGCTATCAAGTGCATTTATAAGGTGTTCTCCATTTTAAGAGTTGGTTTAGAGTTAGCGAATAGTTAAATCAGATTCATAGTTTGGTCAATTTTACATTTTAGTTACTGAATATTTTGAAATAAAATATGACAATTCGTTTTTAAAAATATTCCTCCTTTAAGTATTAATATATATAAAATGTTCTATATTATCCTTTTAAAATAGTTATATTATCGACATTCAAAGTGGATAAAGGTGTCTCCATTTGCTGAGAAAAATATTAAAGACTATAAAATATAGACATACCATGGAAGGAAAATCACATCTATAGGCACTCTTTAAAATTCTTCATTCTTCACATGTTAATCAGCGTAAAATCTTGGGATAATTTGCGGATTTTTGAGCTAGCTGATTCGACCAGACGTTCCAAGGCTGGTCCGCGGCCAATTCATTACGGCACCGGCAGTGCCAACATGCTCCCGGCCATTAAGCCAAATCGAACCGAACCGGGACGCACAAAAAGGACCTCCGGATGTCCCGGATAAGGGGAATCGGGAATGAGAATGGGTAATGGCGTGAACTGAGGGGGACGCCGATTTTAATGCGGCCCACTGACGATGAGGACAGCCGGGAAAATGGGAGTTGGCGGCTAAGCCCGCCAAAGGCCGCAGAAGTGGCCGTAATGAGAGCTGGCACATCGATGACCCTGACCAGCCAAAGGGACTGCCGCTGATGAGGGGACAACCAAAAATCATCCGCGGACATTCTTGGCCAGAGACAGCCACTAAGCCGTCTGCATTGAGGCCTCGTAATTGGAAATGATGCTCGAGTCCCTCTCCAGTGACGAGCGAACCATTAATGGGCTCGAATGCAGCGGGCATTATTTTACACAGAAAAAAAATGTCGCAGAAATTAAATTTTAAATTTTAGCTTCAATAGAGTAATGTGTTCCATTTTTCTCGGTGCAATCGTTAACGTGTTTCTGCCAAATTAAATGAAATTGACTACATTTTCTCGACACCAAGCAACTCTGCAATGTTTATTGGCAGTAAACCTCACTCCTGGGTGCATTTTCATGCCCTGAAATGGCATTTCATCTTTTTAATTGAATTTTAATTTGTTTAGAATGCGCTTAGAGTCGACAAGTGGCCAAGAGCTACCCGTTGGCCCTCTGCTCCTGATTCCTGCTCCGGACTTTCTCCGCCCGCAGTCTGGAGTGCGGACACGCCCTCACTTAATTTACCATGCAACCCATCCGGATCCGGCACTTCACTATACCTCACTTCACTTCTCCAGCCTGCACTCCGCCGTTGTTGTTGTCTGGCAGCTTTTCACAAATCGATTAAATTTAATTTGTTTTCCTTGCCGGCTTTCTCCGCTGCCAGTCACTCTCTTCCTCGCCTTTCTATTCTTTCCTTTTGGGGCAGCTTAGTTTCTAGCAGTAATTTCATAATGAGTTGACTTTATGCGGCCCAGTCCCAGCTGCAGGGAGAATTTTCGCCCATTGCGCTGTTGGCAAATAAAACTGTTCGCGCCAACATTAAACGGCTATGAAGTGTGGAAACTAACAATGGAAGGAACTTTCTGTGCGAAAAGGAGAGTCAAAAATGGGAAGTCAACTAAGTTATAAAATTAGGGAATAATTTATTAAATAAAACCAACACTCCTGAGTTTACAACAAATGTTAGAAACTGTTACCTGCATTTCCAAGATAATTAATCCGTTTATAAAGAAGAAATAATGATATGTTTGTTGGAAAACTAACGTTTATTTTGACATGAATGAACGAAAAGATATTATAATTCTTAAATTTTTAAATTAACTTTACACAAACTGTATTTAACATCTATACCGCTGCAGGACGAAAAGTATGAGTCGCACATTGTTGTTGTCATTTCGAGGGACTTATTTCGAGTTTCGTCCCATGGCTGCCGGGGATTTTCCGCTTCCTTTTTTGTTGGCTGCTTTTATTTGGCCCATGGACAAGTTTTTCCGGTTTCCAGCATACTTACCTACAATTAAAATCCCCCGCAGTTGGGACGTAAAAATAATTATCAACAAAAATACGACGGAGAACGAAGAATATGTATTTTTTTTAAAGAAATCTTATTTAATAATAATAATAATATCCCCAGTTTCGAGAGCAGAATTAATTAAAATGTTTTGTTGTTTATTTTGTGTTGCTCCTTCACATTGCTATGTAATGAGCAGCGCATTAAAGTAATTGAAGAAAATTAAGTCCGTGCACAGATTTTAAAAAAAAGCTCTGTTGTTTCAAGCGAGTTTTATGTTAGAATATTCTGAACAAATAAAATATTCCAAACAATCAATGCTGGCCATTACATAATTGTTGAAAAACATGAGTGGCCGGTTTAGGCATTGCAACAAATTCTAATAGTTTCGCTATTTCAGAAACAATTGAAGCTCTTACATTAAATTCCCCTATTAAATTACGCAAAGCCATCGGACAATCTGCGGTACAGAAATTAAACCAAATTTACCTGCGGCTTTTTATATAAAATGTGTAGAACGGCAACAGCACACATAATATTTTCACATGAAATACTAAATGAAATTTTCCCACGTAGATTTGCGCATATACGAATGCGAAAACGTCTGCCATGTGTGAGAAAATGTCAAGAAAGAGGAGACAGTGCAAAATATAAGCACCAAATTTAAAAAGAAATTTTTAAACGTTCCGCTGGCTTGCAACAGGGCGTATGCGCACTTGTTTTTGCCACCCCCTGCATGTGTGAAGACTGAGCTTCCGTGCTTTCGAGATTTTTAGCAGGCAACCCGCGTATTCGATGGAAATCTTGCGATAAAACGCCAGCGAATTTCCCCTGCTCGCAATGAATACATTTGAATGGCCTTGTTCTTCCTGGCGCTGTTTCAGTTTTCAGCTGCTCATTTGCATGTGGCCTTGCACAAAATGCTTTTTGTCATTACCGGCGAAAGTCAGCTAAGCAGGGCACAAAGGGATGCCAAAGACAAAAGGGGGAGCTGCTTCCCTATCCGCATCCGCAAAAATGTCAACAAATTGAATGTAATTCCTTTTAATTTCGGAGCAGTCTTAAAGTCCTTGCAGGACTCTATCTCGCCTCCATTTCGGCCATCTTATCTCCTCGCCACCCCCTTTTTGGCACGTGGCAAGCTGTCGTGAAGCAAATTGCCCGAATGAAGTTGCCTGCGAGTTGCATGCCGCGTGCCATGAAATTAAGTTGCAAGCTGCAGGATTTGCTTTCAAGTTTCGCAACATTTTCTGTGCCACACTTTCCCAAAAGCCGGCGAAACCAACTCCACACAGGACCCTTCTCGGGGGACACACGCCAAGGCCCTTGGCTCCGTTTTCGTGGATGCTAACACGCGTTTTTGTCGTTTCTCGTAGCTTCTTGGCTGCAGTCGGATAATGTCACGCTAATGCCACCAGCTTTGTCCTGCTTAATGTTGCGTCTAGTTATTGGATTTTTGGTATAACATCAGGGCAGGAGCCCACATCTTGCGAGGTTCACCTCGAATGGGAGCCCTGATCGATGCGGTGAATGAGTCAGGACAATGGCCACTAAATTAAGGCACAAACACCACTGTAACTCTGCATAAAATAGTAGGGATTGTAGGAGTTTAATTACATATGTTTTATCCTAAGTTTATTAGAAATTTATTTTAGGGCCTTCAGAAATATATATTCAAAACTAAAGCTTAATTAACACCAAACAAACTGCATTACCAGAAGAAATATAATATTAATAATAAAATGCTGTTACCACTTACAACTGCACCCATGTGGAAGCCTCCTTGGAAATTGTTTAATTACTTTTAATTATTACGTGCCGCACTCGCACAATACTCACATTCCCTTCAAAGTAATCACCGTATTATGCATCCTCGGAACAATTTTCTTGTCAACCGCACAATTTGCATGAGTCCAGAACACACCGATATGATTAATGTGAATAAATTATGCACATGCAGGGGAAAATGAAACCCTATAAAAACGCCAGAGGCCCCGCACAAAGCAAACACAAGTTGCCGGGAGGGAAGTCGGTGCTAAAGTGGCCATATAAAATGATTAAGTTGCAAGTGAAAGTTATTTCTTGGCCTCTTATAATTTTAACAGCATTTTTACGCGTGCTGCAAATTGAAAGCATAAATACCAATTTCCTTGAGCTGGCGGCCTTCGAGGACTTTCTGCGTTCGGAGCACTTGAGCCAGGTCCTGGTGGTCCGCGGCGATGATGCTGATGGCGACTGGCAAATTGAATGCCACCAGAAATTGTTGGCCAACTATCGTGTGCAATTTTACCGGCCAGGAATGTCGGCGAATTTCGAGGATCTCATGTTCTACGGGTCTCCGCGCACGGCGGTCCTGGTGCTGAATTTCGAGGATGTACTCGTGAGGCGCCGGGTGCTCGGGGTGGCCTCCGAGGCCGGATACTTTAACAACTCGCTGGCGTGGTTCATTCTCGGCTCTGGCCGGGAATCTCTGCAGGATGAGCAGCTGATTGAGCAGCACTTGAGTGGCTACAGCATGGCCATTGATGCGGATATCACAGTGGCCCTGCGGGGTCAAGATAAGTGAGGCAGGGCACTATCCTACTTAAAGCAGGAGAAATACGCAACACATCACTTTTAAATTGAATTTCAAAGGCTTGTCTTAAATTTAGCTCAAATTGAGCCGATCCTACAACACAACTTTAGTTTATTTCTTAAAAGAAAATACTTATGCATGTTGTCTTTTTATTGCTTTAATTGCTAATTAAACTACTATAAAAGTTTTAATTTTGAAATGCTTTCGGTAAGGAGTGACTTCTCTGAAAAAATACCATTTTGAGATAAACACATTTAAAGTATATTTAATAAGTATAGTGTTTTCTTAGAGAACATTTAACAATTTGTTAAAAACAATATTTTCAGCAAATCTTGGCTACTCTACGATGTATACAGAATCAGTCAGAAAGTTTCAACGCCTCTAATTATTGAAAAGAAGGGAGTGTGGACTATTTCTGGAGGTTATCAGCTCTTTGAAAATTATAAAAACACCTGGGTAATTCGGCGGCGCAACTTCCTCAACGTCACTCTGATGGGCAGTACTGTGGTGGGTGGAAAAACGTCCTTGTCCAAAACACCTCTCGACTTTCCCTTACCACCATTTTCCGCAGCTGACAGAGAAACCCCCTGGCTTCGATGACATGGAGTATCTGGCGGACGATAAGCAGCTCCTACAATTGGATCCCATGCAGCGGAAGACCTATCAGTTGTTTCAACTCGTTGAGCGCATGTTCAATCTCAGGTGGGTCCATGAAACTAGCATCGAAGAAGGACCTAATTAACCAGCTTGAACACTTGGAAAAATTAGACTCAAAATTAGTTATTAGCTCGGAAAAAATTATTTTCTTAGGTCCAGTACTCACTTTACTTCAGTACTTACAAAGTGACTGCAATTTTCAAAACAAAATTTTTCCTATAACATTTTCCGCTTGTCATTTGATTATAGAAATTTTCTTTTCTTACGCTTTTTGAGAGGGCGTATCATGCTGTACAAATATAATTATAGGACTAACAAGATTTTTAGAATATACCTTTTGATATACAAAATGTAAAAAACCCTAATGAAGTTGTTATATTTTTTTAAATTTTCGAAATTGAACATGATAGGATTTTAATATTAAATTTGGAAAACTTGTGAATCTTAAAACTTTTCATTTTCCCTGTGCAGCTTGGCCATCAGCTTCACGGATAAGTGGGGCGAGTTGCTGGAGAATGGCAGTTGGTCCGGAGTGATGGGTCAGGTGACGAGTCGCGCAGCGGACTTCGCCGTGTGCCCCATTCGCTTTGTGCCGGACAGACAGCCCCACGTCCAGTACTCGGCGGTCCTGCACACCCAGAGGTGAGTTAATCACAGTGAACTTGACTTGGGTCGAATCTCAGAACGGGCCTTCCTCCGCAGCATCCACTTTCTCTTCCGCCACCCGCGTCGCAGCCACATCAGGAACATATTCTTCGAGCCGTTGAGCAATCAGGTGTGGTGGTGTGTCCTGGTTTTGGTCACTGGAAGCACTCTACTCTTATTGATTCATGTGAGGCAGGAGAGGATGCTATCCCATATGGACAACCGACTATCCTTCGTTTGGTTTACTATGCTGGAGACCTATCTGCAACAGGGTCCTGCCAATGAGATCTTTCGTTTATTTTCCACTCGACTCCTGATCAGCTTTAGTTGCATATTCAGCTTTATGCTGATGCAATTTTACGGTGCCTTCATAGTGGGCTCTCTGCTCTCCGAAAGTTCGAGGAGTATTGTAAGCCTGCGGGCCTTATATGATAGCAATCTGGCGATTGGGATGGAAAACATATCCTACAACTTTCCCATATTTACCAACACCAGCAACCAGTTGGTAAAGGATGTGTACGGGAAGAAAATCTGCAAGTCCGGAGAACACAATATTCTAACCCTACAGCAGGGAGCCGAAAGGATCATCCAGGGAAGATTTGCATTCCATTCAGCCATCGATAGGATGTACAGGCTGCTTTTGGACCTTAAGATGGATGAGGGAGAGTTCTGCGATCTACAGGAGATAATGTTTAACCCGCCCTACGACTCGGGATCCGTAATGCCCAAGGGATCTCCATGGAGGGAGCACCTGGCCCACGCCCTGCTCCACCTTCGAGCTAGTGGCCTAATGCAATATAACGACAGGAAATGGTTGGTCCCTCGACCGGATTGCAGCCTATTTAAGGCCTCGCAGGTCGAGGTGGACCTGGAGCACTTTGCCCCGGCACTTTTTACCCTTGTACTCGCTATGGTGGCCAGTGCCTTGGTCTTTCTGGTGGAACTCTTTCTGCACTGGCTACCGGACTTTCGCAGGAGGTTGGGGGCCATGTCCTTGTCCACTTAAGTAATCATCCTGCCCCTTTCCCAGCACCAGCACGAGCTCCAGCTGCCCTGCCACGACTTTCGGCTACAAATTTGTGTCGCTTTTAATGTTTTCTGCATTTTTAATAATAGTAAAAAATTTGTAATAATGTCAGCTATTCCCAGCGCAGAAGCTCCGGCGCGGGGCAGAAATTAAAAATTCCATTAAACTGCAAACACTTGCATGTACTCAACTGGACTCCGCCACCGTTCCACAATTCCGCTCCTTCTGGCCAGTTCCTTGGCTGGGGCCGTCGTGTTCATTTAGACTTAATTATGAAGCTGGCTGGAGGCGGTGTCACTTGTTTTCTATTAACTGACAAGCTTTTAAGGGGTGGCAACTATTAGTTTCGCCGAGGAGAATTCATTTAGCGGGAAAGGAACAACGCTTCCGCTGGTCGCACAGCATTTCCCCTGGCTAATCATAAGTTCTGACGAGTTATCAGTTTATTATAAGGGGTGCTGTAGGGACATCCTGTATCAATAGCCTTTCCGTTGAATTTGAGTAATCTTACTTTATTTTTCGATCCATAACTTCTTATAAAATTGCTAGCAAACTATTGCAGCAAACCGCGTTCTAATTGTGCAATCGCATTTGCTGCAATTGGATGCGTGATCAGTGTCCTGCATAAAGCTTTGTGTTGGGGACCACGCATGTCCTGCCATCGGACTGTGGTCACGCATAACCTTCAATTAAGTTGTCATAATGTCCGACAACTCGACGGGAAAAAGGGCGGTTCTCGGTGGGTCGGTGGGTCGATATAATCACATTTATACTACAGTGCGGAATGAGATTGTGCAATGGGACGACACGACTGCAAAGCCGTACGAGTGCGAAAAAAGTTGCTAATCCAACTTGCTTTAATCTGTTATTTATAAGAAGTGTCAACTGGAAAGGCTATTCAAGCTGAGATAATTACCACAATTAAATTGTAATTTGAACATATGCAAGTAATGTGATAGTCTGGGCTTGTTTTTTCCACACAAATACCTACTCTTTGTAATTGACATACATATATTAGACATATTATTGGACACTTTAACTTTCTTGAAATAAAGAGAAACTCAGATATTGGTTAATATATATTTGTAAGCAAATCCTTTTTATGTATTTGACTGTTCTTGCCGCTATCCTAAGTTAATACATTGTGAAAACTATTAGGCCATTTAACCAATACAAGTATTTTCATGTCACATACTTATATTTCGTCACGAAAATCCGAATATGTAATAATCTCGAAATATTGTTTGTTATTCTATTTTTTATGTTAACAGAAAGCCTCGGGGTAGAAAATTAAATTCAAATTTGAACGTAAACAGAGAATTAATTTCCTGATCACTTTTTTATAACGAACATCGGAGTGTTGCTGGGAATTTCAAGTAACTTAGTGAAAGGTGCACAATATATTTAGCTGTCTTCCCTGGGATATTGATGCTCCTTACGATTCTCACACACGCACACATTGACGTCAAATTATGCAAATTTACAACATGATTAAGCTCGTTTAGCTGGACTCCCGTCCAACAGCTAAATATATATATAGTAGTATACCCCAATGTCGTCAACGTCCTCGTGTTTGTTTTGCAATTCAAATGAATTTGCTGAGGTTGGGTATGGAACAGGGCCTAAAACTGAAGATACAGATGCGAGGGATGCTGGACACAGTGATGACTAGTTTGAAAGTTCCAAAAAAATGTTTAAAATATCTTAGAAAATATTTTTTAAATTAAAAAAGAAAAATGTCTACAGGTTGGCTTGCACACCACTATTTCATTAACGACCAAAAATCTTTATATAAGCTAAACAAGATAAAAGTATTCAAAGATATGTCATTAAAATCATATGCAAATTTCTAAAAAAATTAGACAGACATTTAGCCTTAAAATATATTTTTCTAGGATCTTACCAATTGATTTTTTCTGAAGCAATAGTTTGTCGGCAGCACTGTGGCTGGGGATAAAGTCCCTAACCCCCCGGATATTTCGGCATGTTTGTTCCAATGTTTAGTTGTCCTCCTCCTGCCTTGTCCACATATATAAATTCGTACAAATTGTTCAATGGCCGTTCGCTCTGTTCCTTCGGCCAAAGTATCAATTGTTGGCATTGGTCTTTATTTATGCATTGTTGGTGGCATTGTTGTCGGCATTGTTGGTATGGCCTATCCGATGTCTGCGTGGTGGTCTGTGTGTTTTATTGCTTATGGTTATAGTGGGGATATGGCCGACCGTGCTCTGAATGAATTTATATTGTTTTTGAAGTGTTTAAATGTTTGTCCGTGTTTGCCACAGGGCGCTGGCACACTGGGCGTATGCGTAATGCGAATTTATGCAGGCTTAATGTTATGGCAAGTGCCCTGGAATGGAAATTTCGTCGCCTCAGCCCCAGACGGGAGATTGAAGTTTATGCAAATAGGGCTTTAATCGAGATCTGACTCAAGTGCTAATTAAATAAGACAAAGCCAACTTTAATTTGCAGCTAATGGACCCGAGGAGAGTATTCGAATGCGAGTTTTGTTGGCAAAGCTCTGTGCCCTTCGGGGTTTCCTTGCTAACCCAAGAGCCCTTTTGAGGACTTGTTTATTTTTTTCCATTCACGCTTGCTTGGTTCAATCTTGGCCCTGACCAAAACCCGTAACCAAAAGCTGACTAAAGAGCCGCAGCAACTTTTGCAAATCAATATTAATTGCTCAGATTCACTCAGCCATAAACTCATTTAAAAAAGCAAAGCTGCAGAGTTGCTGGAAAAGCGTGCAGAAAGAAAACAACAATCTGTTATATTTTCACTATTTATGCTAGGGGTTTCCACCGCCCCTCTGGCGATTTACCTCTCTCCGCTCCTTTGACCGATTGTCGAGTGGAGAAAAACTTTTGCAACTTTTGCGCTGCATTTCTGAGGCATCCTTTGGTCCTTTCCGTCGTCCTGCAGTCGGCTAATACCTCTGCGCCCCCCGACCCTCTTCGGCGTCATGTGCTTATTATAAAATAATTAAGTCCTTTAGGAAATTATAGTTCTTGTTGCCGGTGCCTTGCTTTCTGTTGTCGTATTTCCCCAACTCATGCAATCTGTGCCCGTTTTTATTTCGTCCTCGGCTTCTTTCTGTGCACTGTGATTTCTGAGCTGTTGCCTCGCTGTTTCCTTTACTTGTGTGTCTTTTTACTACACGCAAAAAATTACGTTAAAAATTTTAGTTTAAATTTGTTTAAGAAAATAACAGAACGAAATAGTGGCCATCTGAATATAGTTTTAGTCAACTTTAGTGTTCTTGTTTCAGGGCTAAGTATAGAAAAAATGTTGTTTAAAATATTTCCAATTTTTAGTTATCAAGAATATGAATATTTAGAGTATAGGGAGATCAAAAGTAAGGAACAGAATTTAATGGTACTGATACCTTTTTTAAAGGCTTTTTATCAATTTTGAGGTATTTTTTTCTGTCTAGTAATATGAAGAGAAGCCTGCATCCTTGGCGTTGCTTGATTACTCTTGTGAGTGTCTGCAATGAATAACCTGGGATGGATACCCAGAGGTTGAAAATTCTACATAAATTGTTTCCAAGTCCTGCGGCTCCCACACGTTCCATCATTTCCAGCCTTTGGGAAAAAATAGACTCGTTTTGTCTCTTTTCTCTTGTGGGCTGCCACTGGCATATGAGTAATTTATTGTGTATCTAATTAATTATTGCTGCCAACGTATTTTTCCACACCAAAACGAGTGTGGCCTGTGCGACTGTTTGTATCTGTATCTGTATCCGAATCTGGTTAGTTGTCTCTGTGGGCGTCTGGGTCGGCATCGTTAACATTGACTTAATTGCCAAACCACAGAATGACTCCTTTTAGGAGCTGGGAAAGAGAGCCTAGAAAAGCCAGTCAGTGGTATCTTGAACCCACATGCAGGTCGGACATCATGATCTATGTGTGGGACATGACACTTTGCATTGGAATTTATGTATCGTCTGGCTGTCCCATTCCCTCTTTAAAAATGCAGTGCCTGAGCCCCGGTTGTCCCTAGTAGAGCCATCCATTTTAACATGCCACGGAGTATGACAAGTGTCGGTCAACTATAAACAGGAAGGAGCGTCGCACCACTAGGACCCTCGACGAACACATGGACAGCGATGCCAGGATACTGGCAGGACTTCAATGGCCCTTGGGCTGGGGCATGAAAGCCGCTTGAGTGCGATGTTCTCGCGGAGCCTGTCGATGGTCCCATGGTATATGCTATACATGTACAGGGTGGGTAACATCTGGATAAACCTGATCCCCACTGAAAAAACATCCCATCCCAACACTTCAGGAAAGGCTAAAGCAGGAAATAATTAATGCAAATCAATTAGGGCTGTTAAAGTCAAGTATCTGGGCTTGTATATTCTGTATTCTTGACAGAGGCAATGCATAAAATCCGAAACTTTAAGATTTACATTATGACATAAATATAAGGGTAGGTAATGCAATTCCTTGTGGCATGGTTAGATATCGAATGATATGCAAAACGGTTTTCCTAACATTTAAATCTAAGTCAAATTATTTTTAAAAATTTGTTTAATGCTTACACTAAATATACATTTTTATGGTTTTAGAATACGTTGTTGAACCTAATCTACGGTCTGTCATTTTATTTAAATTGTAAAGTGAAAGCCGGGCTTAATGACACTGAAAGTGATTACTACAAATTTTCAAAGTCGCCATTAACATTATGACCACGTTAACGACTGGTTGCCCAACTGCAGTATTGACCGGCTAAACAGTATGGAAATTAATTACCGCATAAGCTGACGAAACTTTTGCCCCAAAAAGTTTCGGAAATATCAAGCCAACCAATCAATTTTCGTCTGGGCGACAAATGCGCAGCCAAAAGTTGGCCAACAAATCGTTTATCAAATTTAAATTTATTTCCAATCTGGCTAAAATGCAGTGCGCAAAATTCATCATGGACGCCAGTGTAAAATCCCGCAGATGTGTCAATGTATCTGCACTAAATGTGTCCGTATGTGCGTGTCTGCATAATTTTGATGGTTCGTTTTTGGGGTTTCGAAGAGGTTTGGGTTTTTTGGTCATTTTCGGTCTGTTTTTTGACCAGGCGGTGCATAAATTTGCATCTCAATTCGGTGGTGATGCTTCCCCTGTTGTTGTTTGTGTTACCGTGCGACGAGTGTGGCCAAAGTCCTTGTTTGTGGCTGACGATTTGCCATTTTAATTAGGCAATGTCCTGTCACAAGCAGGCGGGCCTGGATATGGTTATGAGTTAAGAGAGAGTCTCTTGTTTGACGACTCCACTGAAAAAAAATTCATATATCGTATAGAAAAACGACTTTTTTAAACTAAAGATTTGTATAAAGTATGAAAAATAAAAAAAATCATTAAAAAATTTAAGATAACAATTACATATAACCTAATTACACTTTTCGTTACCTTGCTTTTGGGGAAAATTAGTTTCGAGTGTTGGTGGCCAAATGTTTGTTCAGTCGAACAAAGTGCAAGCGAAATCCCCCCTCTTGTTGGCCTTTTAATGGGGCTTCCCACAATCAGTTTATACGGTAAGTGCCATGGCAGAAGTGTGTAGCAGATTATAATAAGCTTGCTACTTTAATTATGTTATAATAAAGAATTTCATGAAGCTGTCACCCAGCATCCGTTTCCATTTATCTGAGCCCCATGTGCATCCGCTGGAACGTTTGGTGCAGTTGCGTTGGAGCCACAAACTAATTCACAACCGTCACTTTTTTCGTTTACATTAAAACCAGCAAAGTTTTACATCCGTTTTACGTCTACACAAATAAACAAGCTGTAACTAAATAATTGCCAAAGACTGTGCAAACGTCAATAAACAGGCCCCACACACACACACGCTCACATAGCGTGTTTCCGTTTCCGCCTTTTCCATGGCACGTGCGTGTCTGCGGCTTTTGGCCATGATTTTAGTGTGCGAGAGTGTGTGGGTGTGGTTGCCATGCCTGTTGACAAATTTGTGGTCAAGCGAAAGTCAACAAAGTCGTTTCAAATCAAAGTGCTGGTGCTTAAAAAAATTATGCGTTAAATCCTTGCTGTTATTGACAGCTAAAAGTTAATGATGAAACGATTAAATTTAATGCAGAAATAAATACATTATAGTTTAACCAACTTTTTTACAGGATTATGTTTTTCGCTTTCGTTTTTTAGCTTTATAAATGCAAATAACTCCTAGTTCCAGTAACCTACATTTTTGTTTTTTATAGCTTTTTAAAAGGAAATGTTTAGTGCACAATTAAATTTAACTACCGTTGAATTTATTTCAAAAACGACAGACGTGGAAGTTTAAAATAATTTAATTAAGTTCATCAGGAAGTTGCAATGTACTAAATGCTTGTAAAACTCAATTATTTAGTTTGACTTAATTTTTAGAAAATTCAAATTCGAGTTGGTCAGGAACGTGCGGCGTAACTGAGTTAAAAATAAAGTATCTTAAAGAGTTTATAGTCCGTATTATTTAATTACCTTTATCCACAATTTATTCTGAGGCAATTAACTTTTGCCTTGGTGACACTGCCTAAGCCAGGTGAGAGGATTGCATGCTTGAGCTACCTATTCATTTCGCCGCTCCATCGTTTGGCTAAAGCCTTAAACCTCACTCCATTAGGTTTTGCCGTTGCGTTTTTAATTAATTAATGTGCCTCCATGTGGGGCTTCGCCACTGTTTATGGTTTAAGGAGATCAAGCCAGACAAAGTATTAAAATTTAACCAGGGCACGTGTGTGCGTGTAATTAAAAGTGCCGCCTACTGGCTGAAAACTGAAACTTATGCTCGGGGGCTGGAAAGGAAACGGAGTCAACAACTTTCTATTTTGTCAATGAGCTGGGCTGCTCGCTTCGCAGCCAGAGTTCAGAGGTTCCGACCGACCCTCCTGTAAATGACACACTCTGCATACATACATGCAGCTGGAAATAATTTTTCAATTCGCAAATGAAACTTTTGACACACAAAAAGGAGAGCAAACTTTAAGTTTGCAATTGCTGCAGCGGCGGCAGCAGCAGTTCCCCGGTGGAGAGCGGTAAACCAGAAAAGGACGAGGACGGGCATTCGGGACTCGGGGATCCAGGAGGAGCCGGTCCAGCTGCAATCGTCATGTGCCGTGCACTTCTTGGGGTTTCTGTGCCATTTCTTGCTGTGTTTCTTTCAGCCACGGCCAGGCTGCAGAAGGAAATTACAAACCAAAGTAAACGCCAGCAGCAGCCAAGGAAGTTGTTGACGCAGGACGAGCGCCGGCGCTGAGTGTCAGTGTCATATCCTGTGCCAAAAGTGCACACAGAACTTCGGCCCGAGACTCTGCACTCCAGATCCTGGGACTGGGTGTCCAGAGAGGGAAAATATTGGAACCTAGGAAAATGTTTTAAAAGTTTGAGAGTGCATTATGAAGCACATAGTTATGAAAGTACAATTTAATGAAAATTATAATTGTGCGGGGGTGTTACCCGGGCTTTAAATATAATTTTAGGTGTCTGAAAGTATGCAATAATATATTTTTTTAGTCAGAAGTAATATGAATTTTAGATGATGACTATCCTATAATAACTGAATACTTAATGACACGCAAAATATTATTTTAAAGTGATTTGTGTGGCACCCTCCACAATTTTCATATCTGTGGGGATTTGGTAGATTCTAAAAGTAAGTAAAGTAAATGAAAATTATAATAGTGCCCGCAGTGTGACTAAGGTCTTAAATATAATTTTAGGTGTCTGAAAGTATGCAACAATATATTTTTTAAGTCAGAAGTAATATGAATTTTAGATGATGACTATCCTTTATTAACTGAATACTTATAGACACGCAAAATATTATTCAAAAGTGATTTGTATTTTCTTTAATTCAAACACAGCTTAATGATTAAATACACATTTAATATTATAAGACCAGGTAATATTAGATTGGTTACCTCATGAAAGATATTTCCTCGTGTTTAACTATACATGAACCTGACCAAGTAAATGGCTCGTTTCTCCCTGTGTAGGACTAAGGGCCAGAGTTGCTGCACATTACAAATGAATAATTTATGCGCGCGCTCTCACAACGGCAGATGGATGAGGGATACGGATGTGGATGAAGCCGCTGGCTGGGGATCCAGTTGGGCGGCTGGGTGGCTGGGAGAGTGGGGATACCACGGCCCGTAGACTCAGTCACGGAGGACTGCGGCAACGTCCAATCCTGGTCAATGCCAAATGAGTTGTGGCAGCGTCTCGCTGGTGCCATAAAAGGGAGCTGGAACCGGGGGATCGGGCTTGGGACGCGGATGGGGATGAGGTTGGGAAGCTGTTGCTCGGCATAAACTGAAATCTGCTTCCCAAAAACTTCGCCCCAGAAGGGCAAATTACATGGCTCTGGTGTGAAAATTATCTTCCTGGCAAGCGGCGGCAAAGAAGACGGAAGAAAGCGCAAACTCAAAAGTTATTAGAGCAAATTTTTGCCTTTTGCCTAAGTAATGGCCAAGTGCATATCTCTCAGCACATATTGAGTTATGACTTAATTGGATAAGAGCCCGGTTTGCGCAACTTTGCACTCTCAGCCCGCTTTCCACAATCCCACCCCCCTTAAAAGACCTCTAGTGCTACTAAGTTGGGCAAAAAGTTGAGAAAACACTTTTTCTTCTGGTCTAGGAGACTCGGTTTTGCGGTAATGTATCTCGTTATATTCTGATTATGTTTTAGTAAACCCTCAGTTACTTTGCAGGATTATCTTAGAATGTGTTTTATCAGTACAAAATCTAAGCGGGAAATCTTATGTTTCCCCTTCGAAGATCGACCTCACTTATGATATAGCTTTCTGGCATTGCAGTGAAGTCCAATCAAAAATGAAAACACATTTTTCAACATGTTGCTTGGTTCAATTAAGCCTTTGCCACGAGTATAAATGTGTATTTGCTTAAATATTTTTTAACCACTTAATGAAAGGAAAAACAAATTGATGTCGAAATAAAAAGCTTGACTCCCTCTGAAGCTCAACCCATTTTAGCTAAACCCTTTGAATTAAACGTGAATAGCTTAGTCCTGCTGAATTCCAATTGAAGGGGATCCCAGTCCCACCACACGACTGGCAAGATCAGACGGATGGAAGCGAGCTAAAAGTGTCCCAAATCCCTGCTGGGAGCCCAATCAAAGCGACTTTAATGCAAATGCGCTGCCATTTCCCCTTCCAGTCGATTCCGTTGACACACAAAAAGCGGAAAAACACAGAAAGGGGATAGTGATGCAGGGATATAGAAACAGCGTCGAACCGGCAGTGCGATTTGTGCTCATTTGTCAATGCACGGTGATGCTGCTTCGGTTCCACTCGCCTCATGTCAATCCACATAACGTATACGCCCCTTTGGCCACGCGGCATGCAGTTTGTAGCTCTTCCAGTTGTTGATTTTGTTTGCGGGGCTGTGTGGGTTGCTTGGCGTTTTGGCTGAAAACACACACGGAACACAACACACAGAACAATTCCATTGTCAGTTCCAGTCCTCCATCCACTTGAACATCAAACACTCTGCCCTGAGCCCGCATTGCTGTTGGGATTTTAATTTATAATTCAGCACTCGAACATGGCACCAAAGAGTTTCATCAATATGCACTCCAAAATCAACTCCACGACGACGTAAACCGATTAAGCTATTCGGTGATTGGGAGATCTCTCCTACGTAAATCATCAATATTTCAGATGGGCATGAACACAAGAAACCTGTTTCAATAAACTGTTTGCATATTTGGCGTAGTTTGTATTTTTGCGAAAGCAAAAACTGTGAGGCAACCAAAAAGTCTGGATTTACTAGACACACTCTTTGAGCCTGCACAGTGTGCGGTGCATACATTGAAAACTCATGGCTTAAAAAAATATACTCAGTAGTTCCGAATGCCCATAAAAATTAAAGCTACTTTAGCAAGTAATAAAAACAAGACTGTCAGATACCCGTTACTCAAGTGAGAGATTGTACACAACACAAAAGCGCCACCTATAGTCCATTCCTATAGGATTTTATGCATGAATATAACTCCATCCCTATCCCACTCTATTGAATTTGCTAGTTATCTATTATTGTTTGTTTATAACTTTATAATGAATGGTCCGAGATGTTTTTACAAAATATTGAAAAATGTGGGCGCTAGGCGGGTTTAAGCGTTATTGGCGGAAATTTGTAAAGCTCTGTATATACATTGCTCCCACAGGAACGACCTGCAATGGTATATAAACGTTGGCTTGCCGAAGCTTCCTTCCTTTCCTGTTACCTTTTAACTACTTTATATTTTTACATCTTACACTTTTCACTTTTATCTACTGGTTGTGGTGACGATGTTCTCGCTAGATACGGGTTTATAGTTAGTATGATGGCTTACAATTTTTATAAAGCGGAATAAAGTAAAATACACTGTAAATGAAATTGTTTGAAAATTTGGTCGCCACTTGCGATGCTCAAGAATCTCTGGAACCCAAATGTGATGGCAAATTAGATCGGCAAATTTTGCAGGAAATAACCTATTACGTCAGAGTAATGTAATTACTTCAATTTGCTGTTTAATATAAAATAATATATATTTATAGGATTTTCCCCAAGTTTTAATTTCTTTTGTATTCGAGATGGAATCAGGAGCGCCGATAGAGGATAAGATCAATAGGTCTAGAACCTTCGAGATGAAATCAGGAGCGCCGATAGAGGATAAAATCAATAGGTCTAAAACCTTGTCAGTAGGGTATCTGATATATAAAACAAAAAGGCCTGTCAACTTATTTAAAAATTACATTTATGTATTGGAAGAAATATCTCCTTCCTTAGCTTGATCCTTCAAAATGTCAGAAATACAAAAATTGCTCCACATAAAACACATCTTTTTTATACTTGTTGTTTTTACTTTGTTGTTTTTTTGGTTGCGACTTGTCCCCCTATAAGCTTTTAAGATTTTACAATGCCCAGCACAATTAGCGCATCTGAAAGTCTGCAGGCTCCAGTTGCCGGAGTGAAACCGCATCTGCAGCCATGGGAGATAATTGCGTATTCTCCAGAACGCCAGGGCGCCATGTATTCCGACTGGGCACTACACTTCTTCAGCCAGCAGCGGTACGCGAATGGACTCCGCTATTTCAATAACTCCCTGGATCTGGATCCATTCAATGCAAAGGCTCTGATGCACCGGAGTCAGCTGAAAAGGTCCATGGGTTTGGCACCCCAGGCTCTGAAGGATTGCCATAAGGCAGAAGGTAACTTTTGCCTTACAGAAAGATGTCTCCTCTGACTTTTCTTCAAACCCAGATTTGTTAAAGATCCGAAAGCCACCAATTCATTATCGCAATGCCAGTTTGGAGGTCTGCGACGCTTTGTATGAGTCGAACCGACTGGAGAATTCCAAAATAAACCTGCATTGCCACCTGAGGCGATTTAACTCCTCTCAGAGAAAGCCCGTTGTCGATCGGCTGAATGTGGTAAGTTCATCAAGGTTGGAACTATAAAAAAATATATATTACTTTCGGACAAGTGTATGTCTTATCCATTCCAATTATAGTGTAAGCTTTAGGTTTCTAACATTGAATGAGAAGTACTTAAGAAAGTTGGAACAAAGTAAAAAAAAACTTATAGCCTATAGCGATTATTTGTTTAGTTCTTAAAAAAAAAAATTATTTGTTACTATTAAATAAAGAGAATAACGTGCACCCTAACGACTATTATTGATTAAATTAAAACATACTTTTCATTGCCCACTTCCTTAGGTAAGTTTAAAAAATAAATTAATAAAAAATGTATCTTCAGCTAAACGAAAACTTCCGGGACACATTATCAGAAGACTCCACCATGTCGGTACAGCGCTTGATAAATCGCATGATGGGAAGTCTGTCCAAGCAGCACAAGGATATAAAGGATAATTGCGATGTGGTTAGCATAATGGAAAAGGAGGTAGCCTTAGAGATAACTCAATCACTTAAAAACCAAATTAATATGACCTAAAACTTTAGGAAGTGCATCTGTCACCGCTGGAAATAGCTCGGCGAAAGAGGCACTTTAAGATATATAACCAGTCGTACCTGAACAAGTGCTGGGTGGATGTGGCCTTCATCAAGAGACTACGCGATGATCCCAATGTGCAGCCCAAACATTGTCAAAAGTCATCCGAGTATTTGGGCAAACTGTTGGCAAGCAATTACAAAGCGGAGCGCACTCTTACGGTTTGAGTTTGACATTTTAATTAGCCCTGTAAAATTGGGGTTACCAATGCTTGTCATTTTTAGAAAATGCTGCACACACGGTGTCCCATGTACGCCCTGAATCGGCAGAAATATCCCGATGAGGGATTCTACCAAAGGCAGAAGGAGGAAAACCTATATCGCATTCAATACCAGACGAGGAGAAATATGTTCAAGATTCTACGCAGTATACGATTGCTGATTCGAGTTGGGGAAATAAATGTTAGTATGTATCTCTTCTTTAAGTAAGCTAATGAATTTTGAACGGGGTTATATTTTTCCATAGAAACTGTCAACATTTATTGAGGAGGTCATGGGCGAATATGTCACCACCAAGACGCATCGCGTAATGCCGTGGAAATTTGAATTCACTAATGAGGTTTACAACTATCTTGCTCTAGCCCGCATTAATGAATACAAAATTCCCAGCAATATGACAGTCCTGCAGGGAAGACAACGCCTTTTGACTCTTTTCAGGCTGCCGGTCAACAATAGTCAGGGAATGAGAAAATCAAAGCTCAAGCAACCGTATACTCTGAATATAACAAGATCGGCCACAACCGACCCCAAGGCGGAGAAATTTAAGTATGTCATTGAACTGTCATTAAATAATAATCTTTAGGCTGAAGCATTTTCAATTGTGCGTACTCTTTAGGAAACAAGTTGCCCGTCTGGAGAACCGTATGCGGTTTGCCGAGTACCACATAGAACGCGCCTATCTTTTGCATGAACTGGCTCAGGAGCACCTGGATTTTAATTCATTTGATGTGGCCTGCTCCATGGCCCGAAAGTCCTTGGAGGGTAAGTTAAACGCAAAGAAAAGCTTGTACTTAAAGTGCTATTTCCCACAGAGGCCATCAAATGCAAGAGTATTATTTGGAGCTTCTTGGGTCTGATCATCATATGCAAGGCTCACGCTATTCTTGGAAAGATAGAACAGGAAAAGGAAATACTCACTGAGGCCTTCGAACTGGCCAAGAAAATGAAGAACCTTGACCTCTGCCTGTTCATAGACATCTGCATGAGGGTCAATGCGGAGGAGATGGAAATGAAGCGGATGACAATGACCTCCGATTTGGCCTCAAAGAAAAAAAGCCTTGGCTCTAAAATGTTTCAAAGTAACGATCAAGTCAATGAGGATCGCAACCAAATTACCTAGAAAATATTATAGACTATGTAATACAAAAATACACAATGGTCCTCGAAATAAAAAAAAATTATTATCATATTTGTGCTTGTTCTGGAAATACATATACCTTTTTTGAATTAAGCTAAGAGTTATCCAACGGGGTATCTTTATGGAACGTTAGCTTTGTTGTATAATTGGGACGAAACTCCTCGATCTAAAGTAAAATCGAGCAATGCTTCTAAAGTATTGCTAAATTTTTCCCAAAAACTAGTTTATCCCTTAGGGAGGAAAAAAAAGGAAGTTCCGCTAGCTGAAGGGGAAAACTTTAAAGTGCGAGTTTCCCCTGGTACTTCCGGCCAGCCAAAAGTTTATCTCAATGAAAAACCCCAAGCACATTAACGGCTGTCGGTGTTGGGCATTCAATCACTGCAAAGTGCAGCAGCAACTTGCTCTTATATATAAATAGTTTATGTTTCTTTCCGCTTCTTGTTGCCGCTGCTTGGAGGCGGCAACCTTTCCAGTGTAAACTTTGCACACTTTCGGATTTGGGGAGCGCCGGATCTAAGCCAGACTCCCCCGAAAAACTCAAAAACTCAAACTCAATCCCCACCTGCTGGGTTTTCCTCAGCTGCCATCGCCTTCCACCTGGTGGCAGGAAGTTCCGTGCAACATCGCACAAAAGACGCAAATAAATGAAGCCATTTGTTGTGTTGTTAGCTGATTTTCGATGCAAAGGATGGCCAAAGGTGGCAAACTTTCGCACCACCTGGTCTGCAAAACCGTTGGCAATTCCCATTAGTCGCTTGTCATTTAAATTTTTTCGACTTGCTCGTGACCTCGTGTGTATGGAGTGAATTTTTAAATTCAGCACGCCACTGCCATGCCGCAACTTTCCTTTGACTTTTGTTGGCGAAAGCGGGGGCGGGGACGATGGGTGTGGCCCTGCTCAAATGATGTTCATGCAGCGGAAGTGGCTCATTTGGCAGCGGAAATCATTTGTCGTCCCTTGGTCACTTGTAAAATTAACAATATTTCTTGTTACCTTCCTGTCGGATTTTTTATTTAGTTAATTAGATGAAACCTCAAGAACCAGGTTCCAAGTCTTTGAAAGGTTATCCACAAAGGTGGGGTCTAATACATTTACAGGAAAATAATAAGGAGCTAAATTGAGAGCTTAGATAGAGAAATATCATTTTTGGATAATTAAGGACTTCAAAAATATTTACAAATCGATGAAAACAAGTTCATTTATCCTCTAGTTAGAACATACTTTCTTGGATTTGTCTCCGCTATTATGAACTCAAATGGAAAGATATCCAATTAGCAAAGCTCATCTCCTTTCCTCGTTCGAAATGGAAAATAATGTCACACATCCAAATGACTGATTTTCTATTCCCGTAGAATTATCTCAAGACATAAAAATTATAATAAAAACGAATTTCTTTAGTATTAAGTTTGCACCCAACATACAATTTTTAAGACTTATTGTCGTAAGAAGAAATTCTTAATGGTTTATAAGTAAACTCTTTAACCCCTTGGTCAATCACTTGATTAATTCATATCATCTTTCACTTTTACACACAATCACATGGCTAAGCTTCCTAATTACAGAAGGTGGCATCTGTACGGATTTGTTTTCCCCTCCGTCGGGGCTTCAATTAACTACCTTAAAGCCGGCTTTAGGCAACCACAAAGCAGCAGGAGAAACACAGCATCGTCGGGGAATGTCTTCCTTGCTCCCTGCATTGTGCTTTGTGTGTTTTATGATGCAAAATTACACAAAGCCAAATAAGAACAAAGAATGCGAAAGGCGGGCAACAAAGAAAAGCAAGGCAAAATAAAACAAAGCCAAACAAAACAGCCCGACAGCAGCCAACTAAAACTGCAACTCAACTTTGTAGACACACCGGAGGCTGCAGCAGTTGCTGCTGCCCCCGTCGATGTTGCTGCTGCAAATGTTGCTGCTGCTGCTGCTGTAATGGCAGCCGAGACATGCCATAAAAAGGCAAAAGAAATTGCTTGCAAGCAATTAAAAGCGCAGCAAGGCAAATAAATGGCCACGCCCAACGATCGACGCCCACTCCAGTAATGGACTTAAGCTAAACGGAGTCGTCGCATCGGTTTTTATGTAGTTACCAACTTGACGTAGTAGCTGACTAATTAGTCATAAAATTACACGACCCAGGACGAGCAGGCCACACAAAAGCCGGGCAAACACCGAAGGGAGGGATCTGGTTCTGGTGCAGGTTCTGGTTCTGGTCCTGGCTTCCAAGTGCCCTGGCTGCCAAGTCAAAGTGCACTGAGCGGCCGGAAACAGTTGGCGCTGACGGAAATGCGTGCCCTCCCCACATACACACACATTCGAGCATACTCGCATCCAATCACACACCTACAGCTGCGGTAATATCAATAGTTATAGTTGGAGCTCGGTATTTCATTTTTATAATAAATTTGAGCCTAATTTCTTATAAAATATATAATAATTAAGCAGACCTGCCCAAAAACATAGCCTCACAAGAGAAGAGTCCCAACGAAGTAGTTTCAGATCGGAATAGTTCAGTAGGTTGAATGTCGTACACAAATATGTGTATATGTGTTCTATAGAACAATTAAGTCCGTACATTGCCCAAACATAAACAATTTTGTATTTTAATCTTCTAGAAATTGATAAACTGTATTTCTTAAAAAATTAAAAATATATTACCTAGATTAAAAGCTTATCTATTTTTGTTCATGTTTATATATTTTAGTAACATTCACATTAATATGTTAATTTATAAAATACGGATTATAAATTGAGATATAACTACCAAAATATGATTTCTTTAACCAAGTCTCAAATAAATTACCATAAGATACCCACTCATATTAATCGAACAGCTACTATTTTGAACTATCCTGTGCCCGGGAATCAGAGGCAGCCGGGACCTCAGGCTTGGGGCGTTAGGTCTGCCACTAATTGCTGATTTCCCGTGCCGCTGGCAGTGGAAACGGACTCGAAAACTAGCGATGGACACGTGAACGGAATGGCGAGTGCAGCTCCATGGGAAAATGCAGAATGGAGAAGGGAAAATGGCCATACTTTCACACAGACACAGGCGCAGGGAAACCAAAGCGAGGCCGCACATTTGCCACATCACTTATTAGCTTTATTGCTTTTAACAATTTCAACTTCCACTTCCTGCAACGGCAGGGAACTAAAACGTGTGCTGATTAGTGGCACACACTAGCACATACGTATCCTTGTCTGCCAGAGGCAGCGCCATAAATTCCTGAGCTGCAGGCAAAACTGCAGCCAAAGTCAAAGGCAACCCACACGAGCCAGTTGAAACGGAGTGGGTTTCGGAACTGCACTGAAACCTTATAGTTTCTATTCAAATTCTTATTGGTTTTACCAACAACGTATCATAGTTATGCTTTTGCTAGATACTTTTAATAATTTAATTTGTTACGATATATTTTAATATTGCGTTAACCATCCTTAAAAGTTATGCATAGATTGTACAAAAATACTTATGAACCCAACCCCAAGAGTAGGATATTAAAGCAAATTATACATGTCCCGCAATACTTACATGAATCATATTTATGAATTAGATATCATATTCACAAAATGTTTAATTTTTAAGAACTGAATAGATTACGATTAAATTTTTGGAAAACATAGAATAAAATATTTAAGCAATAACCTTTTTGTCAGCAATACATTTCTAATAGCTGCTATAATCTAAGGAACATATAATCTTTGGATTGCCAAAGTAAAAGTTCTAAAGTTGGGCTATTTAAGTGCCCGAAGGAGTGACCAGATTCGGTGATATTTTTCTCCGTGCAGGAGTTGGGATTGTTGGGGGCAGACACATGCAACATTTAACATTGCAGACAATTTATAAGGACATTCATGGCACACGGCGGTGGCGATGGCGATGCGAGGAGGCCAGGCCCATAACTTGGCACTCGGCACAATGCGAACAGCTCGTCCTGCCCTCATCCGGCCCGACCATGTGTCCTGTTTTAGTTTTCTCCTTTTTCCCGTCCCGTGCCCACACCCCCTCGCATTGTATTTGAAATTCAACATTTAAGCCACTTATGGGCCAACTTGAACTGGCATTTCAAAGGCTGCATCGCAGCAGCTAAGGCAAAAGCAGCAGGACAATGCCGCCTGGAGAGATTTATGGCTGGCTAAAGGCGAGAGAGGATCTGGTGGCAATGATAAATGCCGCCACGAAAACGTTTAAAATAAGGCAATAATATTTAGCATCTAATAAATGGGTTTAGACAAGGCTCCTGCAAGGTCTGCGATTAAATAACAAAATGTAGTGCAATTCATCAAATAAAATAGTTTTTAAGCATTTATTATTGTCATATCCCTCTCCATTCCGAGACATTTTGACAAAATGCGGGGTCTTGAGAGCGAACCGATACCAGCCAATCCGTTTCGACATCCCCTCTATTAAACCGAAACTAGCTCAATCTGTCAAACCGCCGGGCACTTAAGTCCGCCTGGCTGGGAACTTTTATGGCTGCAGCTGTATCTACACTTTGTGGGCTAATGCACCGAAGACAGGGCCGTCATTTGAGCCCCGGCAGCAACACAAAACGGGTCCCAGCATCGACAGGCCATTCGATTCCGGCCAAGTCACCGGGGAGACCTTTGTGAGGAGGGGCGGACATGCAAATTAGATTCGGGCGAGGTGGCATCGGGGCCAATCCCGTGTCCAGCCAAGCGACACGAAAAAGTAAGCCACCGCCCAATGCACTCCGGGATCCGGGTCCCCGGCCATAAGAGAGGTCATTGTCTGGGCACAAAAATCCAACTGCACATGGTGAAATCTGCGGAAAATTAGATTCCACTCCCCCCACTGCACCGCATATGTGCATGAAAATTGCCGGCAGAACGTGCTACTGTTCGGGGGCTTGCCAACTGTATTTATGACACGTGACCAAATGAAATTATTTGCGCCGGGCAGTCTTAAATCGCAATTGTGGCATCTCAGCTTTCGGATATATTTTTGTTCCAGCCGACTCGACACGAAAAAGGTGGACAGCTCGGCCAGGGATTAAGTAAA